AAAAAACAGAGAGAAACTGTGAAATTAAAAAAAAATTATTTTTATATATGTACAATGTACAATATAGTTTAATAAAATAATTTTGAAATAATTTACATCAGAATGATTCTTCCGTTCCGCGAAGATATATTTACGTATATTTATTTAGCGCACAAACATTTTATTTTATTTCAATTCGATTCGTTTTGTGTTTATTGCGTTACGTGAATAGCGACGAAATCTTCGAAGACGTCGACAACAACGTCGCGCGATCCTACGCGAGTCAAGCGAACGGCTAGTGATTAGAAGACACGCAGTTGAAATTAATTGAAAATATAATTACAAAATTAAATATTGCACGCACAGATATCGAGCTCGTAAATCTCGCGAATGTAAAACTGTATTATTAATGTATTATTAAGACGATGAAAAACGCGACTCTCTCGGCGTTAATTTACGTGAAATATATGTAGATTATCAAATATTCACGGCCGTAAGAAAATAGACCAATCACAGTCGATTATTCTCTTTGAGCTCGAAGAATAATCGAGTATAATATATACAAATTTAATAAATACAAATATAATTCTTAGATAATTTCTTTAAATATCAAATCTCTGTCTAGTATTTTTCTCTGTCTAGTGTATTTCGACATTCTCCCAATCAAATTCATGGTCGAAATTAATTCTATGTTCTGTAATAACAGAGCTTGGTAGTATTTCTATGGATGTGATTTTGATGTTCGGAAATTCTGGTTTTTAATTGTCTCATCGTTTGCCCGACGTAAGAAACATCACAATTTTTACATGAGATCTTATAAACTACGTTCTTGTTGGATTGGATTGGGAGAGTGTCTTTCTGTACTCTAATGAAATTTCGCATTTTATTTAGGCTGAAAAACGAAAGATTAACATTTAGATCTTTAGTTACGCTTATAAATTTCTCCGCAATGTTTGAAACGTAAGGAATAGTGAACCAGATACGTTGTTCCTCGTTATCATTACTCGGTGAAGGTTCATTTTGTCTGCGTGTACATTTATTAAAGAGAGACTTAATTCTAGTATATTGATTGTGTTAAAGATAAATGATAAAAAATAGTCGTTTTTTAAGAGAGTGTCTATTATAAATTTTATATTTTTTGAATGAAATTTTGGATGTGACAATATAAACGCTCTATCTACCATTAGGCCAGTCATATTAGAGATCGAACCTTCCAATTAATCTTCCCAGATTGCAACCATCATGAATCGCTTTGATTTGAGGTGCTGTAAGTGGGATTTATTTTGCTTCGCAATGCGCATGCGCATTACAAAGTTATTAACAATATTATTAACAAAAAACGCGATTTTTTTTATCTTTTCTCAAATATCTCGAAAACTAAGCAAGATAGGGTAACTAATTATACGTACCTTTTTTGTACAGCGTAAAATTATCTACAATAATGATTTGAACAACATTTATCGTCAAGTCAGTCGTTTAGCTTGCACGCGCCGTCAAAGTCCGAGACTCGGATCCCGAATACCCTCGATTTCATCGTTTTTTTTATGTTGCGTCGGTGATTTTTTTCCGTCATTTAAAATTTCAAAAAATCACACATCATCTGAGAACTACAAAGAATACTTTTTAGGGTGTAACCGATTTTTTAGACCTTTTTTCTTTAGTTTGTAGCTATGTAAGCAAAAAATTTGATTTTTTGGAATAGTCTTAGTTTTTCGCTGTTTTCAGGCCTTAGAATTTATTTGAGACAAATTTTATCGTATGCATCTTGTTGTGGACGAAATTTGCAACAAAAAAGGACCCTTGTATTTTTTTCGTACGACGAACGCTGATTTTTTTATTGACGCGCAAAGTTATCCAATATTGCGCACAGGTCGGATAACGCTTGTTTTACACTAAAATAATTGTTTTTTATTAAAATTTACGTAATTTTTTGCATTATTATTGAACCATGTTGCAAAGCCGTTTTCAACACATTCTCTCATTTTTACTTATTTATGAACAAATTGTTTACTTAAAAATTATTATAAACAATTAGAAAAACATGTTATATTTGTTGTACTCGTCGTCTCATATCAACTCGAAAAATGTTTTTAAAAAATTTATTCATATTATTTATAACATTTATTCAAACATACAGACAGTGCATTTTTTGACTATTTTCCACACCACCTCTGAGGTAAAGTCAATGGTGCGTTTTTTTTTCTGTGGTTTCCCCAGTAGGCCTAATCCACAAGCAATGAAAATATGTTTTTTTGATGTGATAATTATTTGGATATTCCTTGGATACACTAAAACTATCCAACACGCAGATGTTGATGGAAATTAACATCCGCGTCTTGAATAATTATTTCAATCCTCAGTATCCATAGGCTCAGCTTGAATTACAATATCTTCTATGTCACTTTCATCCTTTTCTGCCTTGTTTTGCTCAGCTTCTTGATTTTGATGTCCGGAGAAGATCTCAAAATCTTCGAAGTTGGGATCATCTATTTTGTCCACTTCATCGTTTCCAAGGTCAATTGTCATTCGATTCGTGCAAGACATTCCTTGACAAGACAAACAGATTTGGGAGCATTGTAAGCCGAGTCGTCGACAGCCACATGCCTTCTCACAAGACCCTGTGCATTTACACGAGATATTTCTTAGTAACGATTCTGGAGCAGGCTTTGATTTTGTCATTACTGGCATCAACGTAGAATTTTTATATTTTCATCCCCAATCCAGAATTAAAAATTTATTGTCGCCGAGCCACTCCTGCACTTGAAAATATATATAATTATTATATATAATTTTATCGAACATAAAATATGTTGAGTTTAAAATTAATTCTAGAGCTTTCAAAAATTCTTCTTTGGGAATATGACAATTATTAGAGATATCCGGTCACCTAGTAGAAACGCTTTGTATTACTAAATTTATAGATATGTTGGTAAATAGAAAGAATACATCTAAAGATATAAGGGTAAAATCCTTATTAATATGTGTTCCATTTAATTTGTTAACTAATTCAAAGCTGTTCGCCATATGACTATTGGGTTTAGGTATGCTCTTAGAAATAATGTTATGTAGAAAAACCGCTAATTTAAATTAAATTAAATTATTAAATTTATTGCGAAAAATATTACCTCAGCCAGAGTTCGAACCTGGAACTTCCCTCATTCCGTGTAGGGCATCGTACCAAGACAACTGAGGCATGTTTTTTTTTAATCTGTTTATTGCACACCATATAAACTGTCAG